TTTTCTGCTTAAACCATCTTGAATTAGTTTCCAATGAACATTATACTGCTCTTCTCCTCAAAGCTGATTATGTTTTGCTGAAGTCAAAGCCCTCACTTCAAGATCCAGTTTTCCTTATTTCTACTTATTCTCTTGAATTACATTTTTACTTGGAAAACGTGTGTCTCTAATCTTTACATGCAAATGAGAACAACTAACACATTCTTTTGTATTATTTCATAAGTGGTATTGTGTTCAATTTTCTCAATTTAGTTTATCAGGGCATGTGTAAAACTTGATAAATAAAAGTGTGGTGCACAATGGACATGAGGAAACCTGAGTTTTAGCCCCAGGTGTGACGTTTCATTGACCTCCTGCAAGCTATGTGCCTTCGGGTGGGTCATTTATCTCCTCTGGGTTCCTGCTTCCCCATCAGCAAAATGTGGGATTTAGGCTAAAGAATATCAGTAATAGCTCTATGTATCTGTACAGTGATTCGATCATTTCTAAAATAATTCTTCATTAGATTACATTGTTCTATACAAATTATCTTTACAGTTCCTCTCAGCTATAAAATTCTATGAATATCAATAGCTCATCAAATCATTTCTTTACCTAGACATGCCAACTGCCAACTCATTACTTTTTCTATAATCTATCTGCCCATTCGTTTAGCCATCCATCCCTTTGTTCATTTAACAAGCATTTACTGCATGTTACACATATTAGACCATGTGCTAAAAGACATGGTTCCCACCCTCAGGAATAAGCCACTCCAGAGGAGGAGACAGACATTCATGCCATTGATTAAATAAGCCCATGAACACATATATAACTACCGACCTTGACAAATGCCATAAAGGACAAGTAGAGATGCCTTCAGAGCATATAACAGGGGTGGCCTGACCTAGATGGGGGCGCAGGTAACGGGAAGTCTCCCCAAAGAAAAGCACCTTGAACTGAGAGCTGATGGGTCGGATGGAGTTGTGTGGACCAAGGGGCTAGGCTAGGGGCCTCCAGACAGGGAACAGCAGCAGTGTGTAGGGTGGTACTTGTGGCTGCCTCAGCGTAATGTGCCAGAGGGCTTATCAATCAACTCTTCCAAAATCCTTGGTGAAAAAAGTTATCATTAGGTCCTCTGCTAACAAGAAGATGTTCAGAAACATGAAAAGCAAAAATTCTAAGTTAGATCCCAAAGAAAGTCCTTCTGAACTTAGGTTTCACCATTTCTCCTCAAGTGTTCCTGTTTGGCACCTCTCACTGACTTAAACTCACACCTCAAGGGAGTCATTTGACTTGCCCAGGTCTTGGTTTTTTTCATCCGTCACATATGAAACTTGGGTTATATACATGATTTCTAAGAGCTCTCTCATATTTAGCAGTTGGTGTTTCTAGAAATTCACCTAAGTTAATGGAGAGGGGAAGAAGAGGCCATCAATCCATCAGTATTTGTGGTTGTATTTAAAAAAACAAAAATTAGCATGCATTCATAATGCAATAAAAAATGTTGTAGGAATTCTAGCTATTGAAATGGAAGGTTGGATAGAGCCAAAAATAGCTAATGCATCTAATGCAGGGAAACTACAGTGAAAGGTTTCCTTGACAATTGAGGTACTTAAAGGTAAAGTAACTCATTTTGATCAAAGACTGGTGTCTTTGCATCTTATCCTTTCTGTGGGTTCTTCAATTGTAATTCAGTGTAAAGAGAGAAATGGTTGACAAATCAATTTCACTAAAAAAAAGCAAAGGTCATCCAAAAATATCAAGAAAAGGGTAATTGGGTTGAACCCAAACATGCAGATTCTCTAATGGGAGAGGCAAGCTCCGCCTCCATGTGCCCTTGAGTGCCCTGCACATGCCTTAGCTTCATTTCCATCTTAAACTGGCTCCTGTGGATCCCTCAAGCTCGTAAATCACTTGGAGCAGACAACACCCGAATTTACAGGAACCTGACATTTGTCAGTCTGAATGCAAAGCCTTAGATTTCAAACCAGTCAGTTCCTTCCAGAGAAGGAAAAAGGACAATAGCTGCTATTTCTTAGCATGCATAATCAATGCTGCAGGGGTTGCTAGGCAACAGGCAGAAAGACATCCCTGGGTGCCTCCAATGGAAGAAGAGCAGCCCTGGCAGCCACTCCTCAGAGGTGACAGGCTGTGCAGGCTCTGGAAGCTGTGTCCAGTTTGTTTAACTCCTTAGAAATTTATTCTGGTTGGGACTGAACCTTAGAATCTTCCTCCCAGCCTCATTAGATAGTCTTTGAACAGACTTCCAATTGGCCCACAGCCCTAGCAATGAGCAGGTCAGGCTGGCAGGCTGGCAAAAGGCAGCTCCATGAAAGGTCCCTGTGCTGTTTTGATCCAATTCATCCTGGAGGCCGTGGAAGGTCTGACTTGCTCTGGCTTGGCTGCAGCCTCTGGATCCCAGAAAGTTAAAATGGGCACCCTTTCGGAAGCTTGTGATCATGCTAGCAAACATAAGCAAAGCCTCTGATACCAGCAAAAATGCACATTCAAAGTCAGTGAAATGAGACTTCCTAGATGTGTGACCTTGAAGTTGGAATGAATTTTTAAGTTGTAGGTGTTTTGTCCTCTGCTTGAGATAGTAGTTTCATTGGAATTTCAAGAAGGTGACTAGCAAACAGAAGGAGTCAGAATTTGATAAAAGGGCAGATCCATTTGTTTTGTTTTGTACAACAGTGTTAACTAAAGAACAAACACTCCTCATAGGCCATTAACTTGCAGACACTTATTTGGCAAAGCCAGAAACTGCATGAGGACTGGGCTCTGGGTTTGGGTCAGAGGTATGATCAGGGCCATGACTGGGATTTAAACCAGAGAGAAGTCTCACTGACAGTGGTGATGAGAGATATGCCCAGGTGGCAGCACGCTATGGGCAGGACAACCGGCTCCACATGGCTGTCACAAGCTAATCCCTTGTCATTACTAGCCCAAGTACTGATGTCCCATCTTAGCATGTATTTGGGAAGAAATGTAGCATATGAGCTGACAGTCCCTGGGCTTTGCTATGCAACACCCTTTCCTTAAGGGCACCCGAAGAAGCACAGAGAGGCAGGCACAGAATAAGGAATGATACTAAGGTGAAAGGTTATACCAAGAAATTTTGTGCATCTAGATATTTAGCTGAGGTCTCTCAGCTACTTCTACACTGTCACCTAGGATTCCTTAACCTCCCAGGATTTTCTCACATTCAAAGCCTCTCACCTTGTGACCCCATGAAGTGAATTCAGAGTCTGAAGGCCTGATTGAGCTCCCTGGTGGCCCCCAAATAGCAGTGGGAAACATGGGCCCAGAACATAAATCCACAGTGTTCGGTCTCTTTGTCTATAACACATGGCTAGATCAGAATTAGATGTTCTCCAAACTTCTTCTAGTTCTAACATTTTATCAGTCTATGAATCTACAAAAATAGAGGCACCTTTTGGTCTTATTTATCCAAAGAGAAAAAAAAAAGTTAGCAGAAGAAGAAAGCGAAGACTGAAGATTTAACACTGCCAAATGTTCTGAACATTTTGTGTTTTAAAAATAACAAACTTTTTGAGTAAATGAAAGAGGAAGCAAGAGCAGGGATTAAACATTCCCAAAGTCGCTGAGGAATTCTTACTTCACACCTTGACCCATCTCACCCTTCTTTTATGTCTCCTTTCCTCTCTCTTCTCCTCTGTCCCACCCCCACCCCCACTTGCTCTCTTAGTGAGATAATGCTTATTTGATAGCTACTACATGTGTCCTTCCTGGGAAGATCTGACCTTTATTCACTCCAAAGTGCAGATTTTAGGAGCTTTTTCTGAGAGTCTAGGAGTACGGATGCCGCTCCACTTACTTTTGATGACAAGAAAAGCAAATGCAGTTTTCATTTGAATGGACTTTAACAGAATATGTGTTTAGTCTGCAGGATGGGTAAGCTCAAGAATAATTTTCTCTCTCCTCAGTTATCCATTTTGTATATACTGAAGTACTTGAATGTTCAGTACAACAGTAACAAAATATATATTTGATTAAAAAAATTAAGTTGGCCTGCTATAACTAGTAAACAAATACCATCCATATAAATACTGTGTATTTGGCAGAAACAAAGGAACATACAAACAAAAAATAACCCCAAGTTTAATCATCTTACATTAAGTCAAGAATCCACATATTTTTACATTAGCTATGTCCACATTCATTTGCCACTTAATTCATTTTATAAATATTTGCCTCTTTGAAGTGTTTTCCATATGTTATTCAATGCCTTTGTGAGTTTTTTTTTAATTTCAACAATACATATGTAAAAGATCTACAGAACTTTTTGTGTTATTTTTGTTCATTCTTCTGTTTTAGAGAACTCGGTGGAAATTTTACCCTCTTCAATAATTTTTATCTTACTGAAGATCAGGTCTCCTTTTTGAGTTTCTGAGAAAATGGCTATGATGAAGGAATTTCAGGCTTTCTTGTTTTAGTAAAACCTTGTATCTGCCAGGGGCACAGAATCCACAAGAAATACCATGCACCCCAGGATGAGCTCATGCCTGCACTGTGTACAGCCCTGGGGCCTTGGGAATATCTGGGAGGGACAAGGTAGGGTATAACAGATCGCAGCAGAACAGAGGCTGAGAGGAAGTGAACTCTGCAGTCTCCCTTCAGAACATCAACATAAGACAAGGCCCAGCTGAGCTGAGCACAAGCACCAAGCAATCTGAGGAGCCAGGTTGAGTCTCCAAGACTTAGCTGGTTGAATTCTGTCTGACCCCAATGACCTCCACCCAGAATTCAGTTGAAGTTGACTTGGAAGAGCAGCTCAAGCTAGTCACAGCTTGCAGGCTGGCAGACCGCCCCTAAAGGAACCTAAAACAGTTGGATGTACCCCAAATATCCTTCTCACTGTCCATTTAGTTAAAAGAATTTGAACATATCCTTCATAACAGACATAATTTGCTCCTGATTTGGTCACTAAAATCAGGTAACACTTCCACACATTACTGCGACTATGGATAATGAGACATTCTGGAGTGTTCTCTTACCTTCACTGCCACCAAGATCTTGTCCTGCTCAGGACAGAGGTTATAGCATTCAGCTAGGAAAACTTTTCCAAAGGCTCCTTCGCCTAGCTCCCTTTTCAGAACAATGTTATGTCGCTTGATGTGCTGAACAACTGTAAAACAAAGACAGAATGGAAATTGGAATCGAAGCACACAGAAGTGAAGGCAGAGGGCGGGGAGTCAGTGGCCTGCATCCTGAGCTCTTCTCTACACACAGCAAACCGAAGGAGAAGCCCCGTGTCCATGGTCCCTGTCCACCCCAAATGGCTGGGAAGTGGTTGCATTGGCTTGCTCTCCAGAGCTCATTTATTATTTTTGATAGAACTAAAGTAGTGACTTAGCTGTTGGCTGCAGGATGTCATCAATGGACTTCACAGATTAGGCAAGGGGGAAAACGAGAAAGAAATGGACCTTAATGGCAGGCGTCTTCCAAGCCAGATGCTTTGCATACATTTATTAGTAGTGTCTAGTGGGGAAAGGCAGAGAGACAGTCAGGAATCCCTAATCCTTTGTTAAACTGCCTCAGGCTCCTGAGGGAGAGGGGCTCAGAGGACACAAAAGGAAAATACAAGACTGCATTGTGAATTAAAGCTTTGTCCTCACCCCAGTGCTAGTCTCCTGGTGAGTGGGTTAGACAGCGGTTGATCCTCAGTAATTCTTTTTGTTGGGACCAGAAATTTCCAGGCTGTGCTAAAAGCTGCCTTTCTTAGTCCCTTTCTAAGATCATGCCCTAGGCTTGACTCTCCAAAACAAAGAAGAGATGCTTCTGGGGAAGAGAGAATATTTCCTCCCTTAGTGTAGAGCAGAGCAAGCCCTTGTCACTCAATCACATGCCTTTCTGGGGAACAGGGCAGGAGACAGTCAAAGGCCTTTGGAAGCCCATTAGCTGTGATGTGGAAAGCAGAGCACAGCAGTCCTCAGAACAGAGCCGGTGGAGAAGCCCAAAAGGAGACTGTAGAGGACAGCAGTGCAGTGCAAAATTGTGTCTCCAGCATGTCAGATATGAACTCCCTTAGCACAAGGGTAGCACTAGGACATTGGCTGCCATTCTTTTCTGAACTCCTCATCCCTGAATGGCAGTATTAAGACATTGTGGCACTCTCTAGAGCTTGGAACATGTGGCCAATAATGTTCTCTCATTTCACTTTCACGACCCCCACATGAAGCAGTGCTCTCTGCAGGAATTCCAGTGATCTTGTGTGGGAAATGAGGAGTCGGGACTTGAACCTTAGTCTGTCTGAATGCAGAGTCCATGTTTTTTCTTCTACGCCACAAAGTTTCTCTTTAACTGCAAATTGTGTTGAGCATGACAAGAGAGATAAAAATAAATAAGTAATATAGTAAGTAGTCAAAATAATCTCCTTGCCTCTTCTTTGCTTTGTTTGCCCTGCAAAGGCCGGTTCAAATCCTCACTCTCTGAGAAAGCTTTCCAGGGTGACTCTGATCACCTAAGACCTCCTCCTCTGGATTCATATTATATCTTGGTTTGTGCTTAGTTGAATTCTGACTTATCCCTTAATTATTTCACATCTGTAAACTCCTGGAGGTTAAAGCAAGCCCTATCTATCTCCTGTTGTCTCCTGTGCTGGGCACAGAGAAAGGATTTGTTACTGTGGTTTAATTGAATAACCTTTCTTTAAAATTGTTTTTCTTGACTACAAACTGCATTATAAAAACAAAAGAAAATACACAGCATATCTGAGCAGTTTAAATAATGATAATAACATGAATGCCCATAACACCGAATTTCCATTTAAGGAACAGAGTGTCCCTAGTACTCAGAAGCACCACTGTGCTCTTTCTTGATTGTATCCACTTCCTACTCTCCTCCCAGGAATAACTACTACGCTGAACTTGTGTCAGTCATTTTTTATAGATTGGCTACTCATGAAATCTCCTTAACAAGATATTGTTTAGCCTTGCCTGGCTAAGGCCTTGCCTGGTTTTGAACCTATATAGATAAAATCATACCATGTGTATTCTTCCATATCTCTTATCTTTCATTCAATAATGCCCTTCAGATTGAATTTTATTGATTGAGTTATAGTGTGTTTGTAGTAGTGATTCTTTTGTTTTACTACTTTATAATATTTTGTGGAAGAACTGTACCACCATTTGTTTTATCCATTCTATGTTGATGAATACGCTACACCATTTCTTTTTAGATACAACTTAATATAAAATGCAAGTGGTGATTAAGGTTTTACTTTAATAGGATTTTTCCCCTGGTAATTCATGTGGTTTGAAGCAATGAGGGCTTCCACAGTCCTCTGGAACTCAGGATGATAAAAATCAAAAAGTCTTTTATGAGCAACTATATTAATAACTATAAGAATGTATATTAATTAACATCTCATGCTCTAATAGAAATGCCTGAATTTAATAGGAGAGAAATGTGTTCATTAGGTAGAGTGCCCATATAAAGAGACAAATGTAATTTTGCAGAGAATTAGCTGCCCTATTTAAATCTACTGTTTAACTCCATGGTTGTCACACGTTCATTGGGAATTAAATAGCCACTTGATTTACTTTATAGTCTCACCAGGTCGAGGCAAGTATTTAATATTTTTTACTTGATTTACATTTTTTTCTTCTTTTTAAAAATATTTTCCAAGGAGGAGAAAAAGTTGGCGGGGAATAAGTTTGTAAAGCTCTAGATAAAAAAAATTTCATTATCTCCAAAACTAAAATGGATGAGATCAGTTTTTTTCATGTTGACCTTGAAAGTATTAAATGCATCTTTTCTTTAGAGATTGTAACAGTGTGCAGCCAAGGGGGGCCCCCAAATAGGGATCTGTAATGGGGTCCAGTATTCAGGAAATATTAGAGAAAAATGTGTATATGATGTCCTCACTTCCACTAGTCTCAGCTGGGGGATGGGACACATGGAGCAGGGCCATTGAGGCCCTGTTTTGCATAGCAACAGTTTTGCAGCTAGCCTCTGGCATGGTTATTTAACAAAGCTATAGCCTTTAACTGATTTCATAGATATGTTAAATAGCTGTGGCCATGCTTTGAGCCAGGGAGATGGGAGTAACTTCAACTAGGATGCAACTGGGAAGCAACTCCCCTGGGTTATAGCACCTGCACCTGAGGGAGAGCTTGGAGATGACTGGTTCCACACCATGGGGCCATGCCTGCCCAGACTTACTATGGCAGCCCAGTAAAGCTGGAAAAATATAGGAATGCTGGCAGGTGTAACTGATTGTAGGAGGAGTTGGAAATGGGGCCACAGAGGAAAATTGGTGTGGGGATTTAAACCCAGGCATGGAAGCTGTACCAAGAGAGGACCACATGGCTGTGGCAGGAGTTGGGACCACAGGGTTTTGGCAGAGGTTGAGACCATGCAGCTTGGGCAAGAATTAGGACCACCAGTTTTGGGTTGTTCCCTTTTGCCACGTGGCTTAGGCAGCAGGAGAGACTTTGCCTGGAAGAAAAGGGGTGAAAGGACTCCTGCTGGTGGGACATGAGAAGGTGCCACATGGCTTTGGATTAACTGGAGATCATGGTGGTGACACAGCTGATGGTGCCAGTGTAACAGGGTGCAGCCAAGAGGGGGGACCCTAAATGGGCATTTGAAATGGGGTCCAGAACTCAAGGTGTCCAGGAGATTTTAGGATGTTCTCACCTGCACCCCCATGTGTGGGTTGGGGGAAGGGACAAATGGAGCAGGGCCATTGAGAGCTGTTTCGCATATCAACAGCCTTGCAGCTACCTTCTGGCCTGGTCATTTAACACATCTATAACCTTTGACTGGTTACATAGATATGTTAAATAGCTGTGGCCATGCTCTGAGCCAAGGGAATGGAAGTAACTTCCCCACCAAGACGTAACTGGGGGGCAGGTCCTGCGAGTTACAGCACCTGCATGGGAGCTTGGAGATGATTGGCTCCATGACATGGGGCTACACCTGCTCAGACTCATGATGGCAGCCAGAAAAGCTGGAAAAGACGGGAGATTAAGGGCAAGTGTGGCCGAGTGTGGGAGGAGTCAGAAATAGGGCTGCAGAGGAAGATTGGTGTGGGGATTTAAACCCAGACGCGGCAGCCATTGAGAAGAGAACCACGCAACTTTGGCAGAGTGGAGATTCCCGTAGCCCTGCAAGAGAGAATCACCACGCAGCTTTAGCAGAGAACTGCCACTAAGCTTCGGCAGAGTGGCGACCACGCCGCCCCCCCGCCGCCTCACAGCCACTGAGGAGGGAGAATCACATGGTTTTGGCTGAGTGGGGACTCCCATGGCCCTGAGAGAGAGGACCACATGGCTGCAGCAGAGATCCCGGGGACACAGCTGATGGTGCTGGGAACAGAGGGAGGCCTACCAGCTGACACGGATTACTGGGAAGAACTGGGGGCTGCCTGAGCCACGGACTTCTATTTCTTTTCCTGAGATACGGTACCCCAGGCTGGACAAAGGGGGAAGGAAGGACTGTGTATGTTTGTGGGTGTTTTAAGGGACTTTGGGATTTTGATGAAGACATTAGGTCACTACTTTAAGTCTGTATAGCATTAAATAAACATTTCTTTTCCTTTTAACGAATCTCTGGCATTGAGAGACATCTTTCCTATAGGCGGCAGACATAATGGACCTGGGGGTTCCTTTTGGTAATAGTATATTGTCCCAGGCCCACCCCTTCATGCTCTGTAACACCGAGAGCCTGAATCATGGACTTCTACTTCTTTTCCTGGGATATGGTACCTCAGACTGGGCAAAGGGGAGAAGGAAGGACTGTGTGGATTTGTGGGTATTCTAAAGAACTTTAGTATTTTAATGAAGACATTTAGTCATTACTCTAAGTCTGTATAACTTTTAAATAAATAATTCCTTTCCTTTTCACCAATCTCTGGCATTGAGAGACATCTTTCCTCTGATGGCAGGCAAAGCAAACCTAGTATGGGGATGGGGGAACCCCTGGAGAAAAAGGGGGATCTTTTTGGTAACAATATATCACTCACCACCCCCACCCCCATCTGTTCTGTAACATAATGGCTATCTTGCATTAATTTACTTTGCTGGTTTGGGAACTAACAGATTGTATGTATGGTGGCCTTTTGCCAATGTATTCCCCCTAAAAAGAATTAATCTCTCTTTTATTGTACAAGATTGAAAGCCA